TTTTTTAATTTTGGTTAAACATTGGTTTTACTTACAAATAATCACATTGACGATTTTTTTATTTTTTTTTGTTGTTTTTTTCATTGGTGTTTTATCCCCTCTGCCACACCAGTTAAGATGCACAGCCAACTGGGGATCAAACACCTTCCCACAGATCATCCAGACTGTTTTCTTCAGTGTTTGTCCCCCAGCCAGTGACAGTTTGGATACCTGGAGGTGACAACAGATGTTTGGTCATACAAAATTTCACATACTTTTAGGTAGTGTATGTATGTGTATGTATATAAGTATATATTATATTTTAGTATCAATGTATTATATATGTACAAGGTAGTTTTCTTAAACCATAATCATACCAGTTTGTTCTTAAATTCAACATTTTCCAACTGCATTTCAACGTTGTTCAGGTCCTCAGTGTCTTGCAGTGGAAATCTCTCATCCTCTGCACACTAAAAAAAATAATAGATTCTTATAGAAAGACCTGGGTAACAGTGTGCACAAAGATCAGTAAATCTAGTAAGCTACATCGCAAAGTATTTAAAAAATCTCTGTAATTGAGTTAATAGTAATTCACTAAAATGTTATTGATATGAAATATAAACTTATACACCTTGAAACTATTATTTATACTAGGAAAAGAAATAAACATTTCCAAAATCAATCTAAAATAATTTGATTAAAATAGATCATAAAGCAATTTGTACAGTGCACTTGCCGTTGTTAATGGTGCATTTCCAGGACTGTAACCCAACAAGGTAGGTATCTGGGTGACAATTTCAGTCATGTGTTGGACCTGGCTCTGCAACTCCCCCAACATCTGCAGGAGGATCCTCTCGGTCGCTGTAAGGACAATAGAGAATACAGCATTAAATATTTAGACATACATCGAGACAGATGTGGATGTAGATTTGTTTACAACTTACGTGTGCATTGACTCGGTACAAGCTGCCCCGTGGGTAGCTGAGTCCTCGAAGGACTATCTGTAAGAATAAGACAGTAAAAAATTACTCTAAAACCCTAAGTGATCATAATTACTATCTTGTATCGTATTCTGATTCTTTGTGATTGAGTGCAATACTTCACTCTCTAAGTTACCTCTCATTCACACAAATAGCAATTCCATAAAAACAAACAAACACGATTGTTCTGCAATCTTACTTTGTTCTCCTGACAGGTGCAGAGGGTGTGGGACAGCCGGAGAGGATGTTCTTTCTGTAGGCGTATAATTCAGTGTTTAATTCCTGTGCAAGCGCACACATGAAACAGATTACCATATCATTGCACGCATCTTACGTGCACATTTTCTACTGTGTTAATAATAAAAAAAAAAAACTTATAAGTTATGCAGTTTATGTTACTAACTTTGTTCCCTGAATGTTTGCATGTTGGTGTATTCCAGTGATTCTCCCTCAGTCTCT